GTGTGTGTGTGTGTGTGTGTGTGTGTGTGTGTGTGTGTGTGCTCAGCAGTGCGGAAAGAGTGCATCCCTCAGGTGCTTCTCCCAGAGGAAGAGAAGATCATTGTTGAGGAGATGAAGAGCAACGGGCAGACAGTTATTGAGGAAAAGTAAGCATATTATTACTTTGAAGAATAGGTTTTCATTTACTGGTTGTACTGGCAGTGACAAAAAAAGATTTGTCATTATTTGTATTTGGATCCAGATCTTCCCTGTAATGAGATTCAGAAATATGATATTGATCCTATTGAGGCATTTGAGGAATGAATCTTCACACAGTATGACCTTGGCTCGGAAGCCAGTATAACCTTAATATACAAATGTGTTACCAAATGGTATTTTATCAAATAAACTACTTTTTAAATTACTGTATTTTCTGTTTCTTTCTTTCAGGAGCCTAGTTGATGCTGTGTATGCTTTAAAGGATGAGGTTCATGAACTGAAAAAGGTGTGAGTTTTGTCCAACCAATGTACTGAATGTGCTGAAATGTTTCACTAACACAGTGTTGAGAAAACGGAGACAATGTTCTTCACGCCAGCGACACACTCTTGTGTCCTACTCCTTGTTTAATTCTTAGTTGGTTACAGATGTGGTTGAATGTGGTTTTGGGGAGGGGTGCAGATATCAATACATTAAAATGGAAAAAATCAGAAAACAATGTTTGATGACATTCACTTTTTTTTACATAACCACATAAAAAACATTTTGTGATCAAGCTTTGTCTTAGTAAAGTTAATAAGTTAAGATAATTTACAGTAAACTTTATCATCAAAAATAACAGTAAAAGTAAATCCACAATAGATTTTCAAGGGAAAATTTAAATGTATATTATTTGAAAACTATAAATAAAAGTATTCAAAACTATATTAACATGAATTGAGAAAGTCTAAGTCAAATTTACATTAAACATGCCACCGATAAAACATCTATTACTGTGTTATTTACTAGTCTTCAATTTATCTTGCCTTATTTAGCATTTTTAACCTCTGTATTTACATTAAATCAATGCTGTGTAACACCCAATAATATAGTTAACCCAATATAAGTCAAGTCAGTTTTATTTATATAGCACATTTCATACGGCAGGCATAGACTCAATGTGCAATATAAGGACAAGTGTTTATTAATGTACAATATTTGTCAACAATTGTATCTCCTCCTATAAAGACATATTTTATATTGTAACAACTGTGTTTTACTATATTTTCACTCTTTATAGAGTGTTCACTGTTTATAGACATGGAAAATTAATTGTAGTATCAAATATTAAATATTTAAGTAGTAAATATTTATTAATATGCTGCTTATAAATGCTAAATAGGGCCTGTGCATTTGAGTTTCTTGCGAGAAGCAACGACCACACAGTCTGTTAAATACTGTCATTATCTGAATGTCTTGCAGGAGAATAAGTGGATGAAGCAGTTTCTGGAGGAGGAGCAGAAGTCTCGTAAAGAGCTGGAGAGAGTGGTCCGAAAACTGGCCAAGCAGAAGAATGATTGCTCTTGGGATGACGGCAGCCACTGAGCACATCCCTACAATCATCCTCATCCTGGTGTGGCTGTGTGTGTGTATGGGTACATTTATGTAAGCATGCTTGCAGAGGGACAGAAAGGGTCAGGTGTGCATGTGTATTTGTGTATCTGTTTATGTTGCGTCTCCATATTTCAATCACACATAGCAGAGTTGGACTCTGATGATGATACTTGGAGTTTTTCCTCTTCAAGAGCTGGAGTTTGATTTGACATTTTGATGAAATCTTGTTTGTCTTCCTGATCCAGCCTCACTAGATGACACAGCAAATATGCTTCCTCCTGAAGCAGCTCAGCTAAACCAAGACTGATAAAAACAAGAAATGGGATGTTTCAAACATACTGCCTCTCAGCTCCTGGCACTGTGAACACTCCCCAGCAAATAGAACCATTTTGGACAAGGACAAAACAAGTTCTCCACTGCTTCTTTTGCTTCAGTTGGAAAGAGAAAAGGAGCACGAAGCCATCAAGTCCAATGGGTGTTCTTTTGCATGCACTTCTGTTACCAAGGGGACTGATGTTCTTCTCATTGCATCATGACATTTTTGTCATTGTCATATTTTATTTGTCACAGGGGCCCCCAGCGGGGAAATGGATTTATTGAGCTTTCATGAGCATGTGCGATTGGCATTCTTGTAACATTCTGGACATTCACATACACAAGTTTCAGGCATTTTTCTAGGCGTTTAAGCAAATCCAACAGGTTAGCTCATTGTCTTACATTCAGTTGTTTCCAAATGCAGCCCTTGACTTTTTATTTAAACTGCATGAATGTACAGTGTTTCTACAGTACGAATTCTGCATCAGAAGTGTGATAATCAAGATATTCAGATACAGTATATAGTCCAAAGCTATCAGGGATGCAGCTGCATAATAAAATAGAAAAGGCTTAACTTTGTATCGTTTATTATATAAGAGTATGCAAATAATGACAGAGATGTCACCCCTACTCTTACTAAAATATATTATCATTTTACCATATTATTAACATAGCCTGGCTTTATTTTGGATTTATAAGAAATATTCCTATTTATTGTTCACCCAAGCATTTAATTGTGGTGTTAGCCTTATAGATATAGTTCTGCTGCCTTTACATCTGTCTGGAATTTTATTATACTACACTGATGTGTAAAGGCAGAAAAAATATCTGTTATATATATGTTTTGGCCAAGGGAAAAATTTGCATTTTTCATCACAAAAGAGGAAAACTTACTTTAATAATCAGTCTGACTTGACAATTCAGAGGTTTCTGTTTGCAGCCTCTATGGCCTTCTAGCAGGTTCCTGCAGAGCTGATGGAGACAGACTGAGGAAATGAACAGAGAAAATGTATTTGTCGGTGTAGAGTAGAGCTCAACTGTTTAAGTGCCTCCCAAAGGGGTCGATAAACTTGAGAGTTTAAGACCAGACTGGGACTAAACGCATGATTTATGTTGAAAGTGTCAGAGATGGATTGTAGTAATATTTTAATGAGAATGGCTCAAGCTTAGTGGGTCTATATTGGGTCTGAAAAACAAACAGGGCTCTGTGTGCTGTTTAAGATGCAGCCTCTTTGCGATACAGCGGTACATTTCCTCATAAGGCTGAGTGTGTGCACTGTCAACACTGTTATCTATTCTTGCTGCGCTGCAGAGCAGCAGTGGATGCTATCGAAATGCAATAAGTGACTGCTTTACTGACTGACTTCTGGGTTAGCCCCAGCATGGTAGGCCAGATTTGGAGAAATTGCAATAATGAATGAATTAACCCAATTTATTAACCAAAAAGGGCCAGGCCATGTGGTTTAGCCACCACACAGTTAGGCCGTTCATTATGTTCCCTTTGCCTTTATTTAATCAAGTCTCTTGGTATTGATGATTGTTTAAAGACGACAGAGCAGGTCCCAGGTTTCATTACAAATGATACAAAATGTAATAATATTGTAATACTGTACAATCCCTGTTGGGAAGTGCTGTGTTTGCGTGCACCTCTTTACAGGGAGGTCAGAGCACTGTGTAGGGTACAAGGCAGCACTGGTACATCTACAGCAGAGTCACTGTCTTGCTCGAGTGCGCTAAAGCAAGGTGAATTCTTGCTGTGACTGATCTTTAACCGCTGTTCCTACTGGGACGCACAGTTAGCAAGCAGACTGTCTTCAGCGTTAACAGAGGCTCTGCTGCCTGGACAGATGTACGATCATGTTTGCTGTTGAGATTAACGTTGTTGCTGTTTCTGTATTTTAAATTGTTTTCATTAAGTATAACATACTGTAGTTTTCAATTCCCATAAGCCTCAGTGAGCACTTACTGGTGGGAGGGGGCTGAACTCCGGATTCATCTTGTTTATTTGAAATGACATCTCCAGACCACTGTGTGTATTGTTTTTGAAAGGTTGTTCTATGCAATTATTGTTGTTGCAAGTATTGTAATGCTTTTTTTCTAGACACTCTGTACTTTATGTTTGGTATGGTCATTCTTTTATTAAAAATTTAATATAACAAGTGGAGTTTAGCTTCTGACATCAATTTCACAAAGCGAGAAATGGAAAACTCCAAAGATTTCACACATGTTTCAACCACACAGCATAAACTGTGTGCTCCTTTTATTCATACTGGAAAATCCACCAAGTTAGGCTTTTCCATGCAGCATTCAGCACATGTATGGTTCAGGAATTTGTAGGTTGTTCAGCTTCGGTAGCAAGAAACCCTTTATGGAAGGAGTGACTAGAATGACATCCTGTGAAAGTTCGTCGCCTCTGCATCTGTACACACCTCTACAGATATTCAAATTTTCCATGCATGAAACACTGGTAGGTTTTGTAATGTCTGTGGTGCTAACCTTGAATCTGCACTGCACTGCACATTTTTACTTTTGATGGGTTGGTGGGGGTAGAACTTTTTTATATTACTCACCCAGTATTTTTAAAATCTTATATTAGTCACCAAGCAGCTTAAAGTTACTTCTAACTCATACCTGTAGGATAAGGAGCGGCCAGTGCTTCAATAAAAAAGCAGGGCAGCGTCTAACCTGCACATGGGCATCTTAACAGGCATTTTTTCATGTTTTAACCCTTTCATTTACCAGGAATCCAGAACAGTTACTGAGAACTATAGTTTAAACTGTTCTATTCAAACCGCTCTTTCAGAATTTTGAATAATTTTTCCCGCCTTTTAGGCAGCTGTTGGTCTAAATTTAATTTTATACAGTGTAAAAATCAAATGGCACACGAGTCTTTCTTGAGTAGTGCAATACATTACAGTAAATCTTGTCATTGTGAGGCACTGTACTCATACATGTCAATAAGGAAAACTTTAAGTTCATCGTGATGGATGACACACATGAAACAAGTCTAAATTGCTTGGTAATAATTATGACTCATACACCATATGGAAATGAATGGAAACCACTGGCTCCCTGGAAAGAAGGAAAAATACTACAAAAGTGGAAAATCTGCAGCTTGCTTTGAAAAACTGTCAGCAGTAAAACACGTATATGATTTGTAGTCTTAACTTTTTAAAAATAATCACATGTTGATACTGTAATTGTTTCCCACAAAGGTGATCTTTCTTGTACCACTGAAAACAACATGCAGTTTGATGTGTGTGTACAGTTTATGAGAGATCGACATTACTAAGATTAGTTAACCTTTTCAAGTGGTAACCTTCTTCTTGAGTGGTCCTGTTTCTTGTGGATTAGCATCATGACAAAATCCAACTTCGCTCTGTGGTTTCTTGTGACCTAGATTAATTTAAGACCACAGCGGAACAGGCTGAACTAGAGGGTTTTGCACTTTACAGTAGATATGATTACTGTCTGATCTCTGAGTAGCCAATGGAGGACCATTTTGGGTACGTCAGAGGAAGAGTGTTGATGGTCTTCAGCAAACGTTGCAGTGTTAATGATGATTTTTAACTTGTATAAATTCACCTGATCCCCTGTCCCTAATCCTGACTCATGAAGCATCTCAACACTGATTCTTTTTAGGACTTTTTTTGTTAACAGAAAATGGCAGCACACCTTTCCTTTACACCATTTAAAATATTCTGCATGTTCATTCAGATATGCTCCATTCTTGTACATGCACACAAGGTAGCTGTGTAATCCAACACTGCCAACATCTAATATGTGGTGCTTTAGACCAGATGTTTAAGTCTAATGTCTAAATGGGCAGATGCAAGAAAAACTAATGAGAAGAGAAGAAATATATAGAAATAATTTTAGATTAAATATAAGAATTTCATTTCACATCCATACAATCTCATTTACATCAATAAATACAGAACAGAACCATTCATAAATTTACCATAGAAACAAACAATAACACACATGTATATGAAATTTAATAAATTATAGTTTAGGAATGTGGTCTTTGTGTCTCAAAACCACAAAAAAAGTTATCAGTCCAGAGTATTTAACAGTGTTCTCAGTAGATTTATATCCACGTCCATCCATTTACTGAGTTCCCACTCTTTAGCTTAGGTCCATGCACATGCTCATATAGAAGTCCTACAGTTTGTACATCCCAAAGGTTGTGGCTATGTCATCGTAGTCCACCAGTGAAAGGTTTTGTACCCAGACACTGAGCTGGTCTCCTTTCTCGAGTGTGACCACCCTTCCATGCGTGGCTGTGCACAGGTGAGGGATAGATGTTTTCTCTCTGTGCAGACTGCAGGAGGCCTGCATCACAGTCTTCTCTTCTCCTTTTTCGTCTTTCCTCAGCTTGACTCTGCTGGCCAGTGGGACCATTAAGTCGCTCTTGGTGAAGGTCACCGTGGAGTAGACGTAGTATTCACCAGACTGCAGGATAGTCAGCCAGCTCTTGTGGTAGTAGTTGATGTTCCTACGAATTGAGTGGTCCATGTCCCACATGAGATAGCCAGCTGGAGAGACAGAGGGAAAGGTTTATATTATTTATATATCAGTTTATATCAATTATTATTGAAAATATTTTACTCTTCTAAATAGATTTTTGGCTATTTATGGTTGCATTAAAAAAAAATTCAAAATCTGTCATTTTCATAGTTTCTTACCTGAAGATATCTTTGGTGCTTGACTGTCGACTACCATGCCTGCCAAGGCTTTGTAGGCACTTCTCTGTTCTTCTGATGAGGAAAAAGCAGCTGGAGAAAAGAACAAACATCTGGTCAGAGACATTTTTCAGAGTGGATTTTTGTAATCAACTTAATGTATAAAATTACTTTCAGGAAGAAATAAATGAAATGAATTTACCTTGTCCTTCAGCTGAGGGAGGTCTTTGCTGTAGGAAGGAATAAAGTAGATCAGTAAAACATCCTGAACATAGAGTTCCCTATGAAAATTATTATTTATGTATAATATTCATAAGAATACGGCTTCCACTCTTTGTTCACTAAATGCTCTCCTTGTAACAAGATACTGTACTGACACCTCACCTGCTTGTTCAAGAGCATTTCCTGTGTTTCAAATATGTGAAATTAGACAGATCTATTTCAGTACCTTAGTGTGGTCAAAACCATTCACAGTGCTGCAGACAGTTGCTTCATGTGTTAGTATAGAAATGCAACTGAAAGATATCTGTAATAAAAAAGTTTTGTTTGTTGTAATTTAAAATTAAAACTTGATTTTTAAGTGTAATACTAGTTGAAGATTTTTTCAATAACAATATTGTTTTTTTTCTTTAAGTTATCATCTTTATAAAGTAAATGCAAAGTAAAATGTTTTAACTTGTAATGGCTTGGAGTATTACTTTGTAATTGCAACCAAGACATCTTAACTGTACTTTGTTAAAATCTTCGTTTATAAGAGAAACTTTTTACCATTTTGTCATTGTAGTACAGATAGATGAATCCTCCAACAGACAGCAATAAATGCAGCACCACTACACCAACCAAGAATCGGATGAGAGGCTTGCTGTGGCCTGGTGATGGAAGAGGAGTTGGGATGAGGACCGGGTGAGACCTGTTGAGGCGCGGAGGCACCGGCGGTGGAGCCAGGCTGGTCTGGTAAGTGTTGATCATGGTAGAGAGGAGCGGTGAAATCTAGATCTGCCTGGTGTCCGTGACATCCCATGCACTTATGAACTGCTGTTCTCTCGAGCAACTGAGTTTTACTCTCGCTACTTCCTGGAAGCTCTGAAGTCTGCATGGTACAAATCCAAAAGATATGTGACCTTTGGTGAGTACATGTGTGTATGTGAAATACCTTGTTGCATTTTTTTTCCCTTCCTCTCTGACATGTGCACCTAAATTCCTCAAAATGTGACCTTGCATTACTCAGTATTTCTGTATCAGTGTGGCAACTCACCTGTTTTTGGCAAATAGGGTACAAATTCCTATGAAGTGTATTATAATGTATGACATACAATACATAATAGTATTTAAAGTTGGCAACATTACACAGAGCATACTGGAATGCCTTTTTATTAAGTGCTCACAAATGGCCGCAGCAGCAGCAAACAGATATGATTTAAAGAGTCATACTAAAAGCAGAAAAGAACACATTTACTACACACACTACTCTCAATAAAACATCAATGTCATGGTTCAGTGACCACTACACAAATTCAGACCGTATGACCATGCAGTCCAAAAAGTAACCAAGGAGTCCTTTCTCAAATTTTCACAAAGTTGCTTTGATTATTTGGTTTTTTACTTTACATGGAATTCAGAAGGGACACCTTTAAAGAACTATATGCAATGTCCAAATGCCAGGTCAGTACAGCTAAGAGCTTTCTGAAATCCATTCAGTTCAGTTCAATTTGAAAGAACTTTATTCAGATACATGACAGGTTTGTCAATATGCAATAACAACCACAGAATATGCCTGTGTATATTCTCATTTGTCCAGGTCATGGTATCCTAAAGGAGTTTTTTTTTTATATCAAAACGCAACTGGACTTTGATTATTTGTCTGGGAAGACGTTTCACCTCTCATCCAAGAGGCTTCATCAGTTCGTGTACGCATCTGACCAGGCTGACCCAGCCTGGTCAGATGCCTGGTCAGATGCTGATGGATGAGAGGTGAAACGTCTTCCCAGACAAATAATCAAAGTCCAGTTGCGTTTTGATAAAAAAAAAAAACTCCTTTAGGAAACCACAGAATATGTGAACTGTATTTGGTTGTGGTGGCACATTCACCTGGTATGTGACCCACTAATTTTTTTCGTTGTACCCACACAGTCTCTTCAGGCTAATGTGAAACGTTTTTTATGTGGCATATTCAACCCATTAGTCACAGAGTGCTGAAAAAGCAGAAAGCAGCTTAGGATCTTTTACTTGAGTGACAGATAGCTTGGTAGCTAGAGAGTTAGATTTTAAAAATCACAGTAATACTGAGTTAGTGAGTGAGTAGAAAACCACCCAAGACAATGGGTTGTATGACTTAATGGTAGTGATATTTTTACTGCTACCGTACCACTGCTATCATCTACTCTAACTCTTTTTAAAATCTCATGACAATATCTGTTACTGATTGTTAATAATATGTTTATCCTTTGCAGTTTTGAATGTTGAACTGATAACATTTAGTATGAAATGTGAGTTTCTTCATCCACCGGTACTGCGTGGTTAAAGTTAACCCAGTACAGGTGTTGCTTTTAAACCACATTAAACCTAAAAAACCTAAATATGTATAATATATTGTACTCTATGTATACTGTATAGTGCACACCATAAAAGAACTAGATATGCTATACAATAGAATACATTCATGAATTTGTATTAAAATAGCATCTCTGATCTGAAGTTTATTTAAGTAGAATTTTTCCAATGAAAAATGTTTTTCATCTAAAAATTTACACTAACATACATGCAGCCAAAACAACATAAATTGTTTTCTTGTACTTTCACATATGTATAGTTGTGGTAATGCAACCACTAGGAGAAGACTCCAAATGTTCATATAAATAGCACTTGTTTCGTGTGTCTTTTGCAACGGCTCATAGCTTCCCCCTAGTGGTTCAAATTGTCATCAACTGTAAATATGTACATAGAGTATTTACATGAATATACTTACAATGAATATATTAAATGTTGATAAACCCTCTTTTTTCCCTACTTTTTCGTCAGTGTCATCAGACATCATGTGATCATTTCATTGATAGTGTTAAGTTATATTCATGTAATTGTTGAACCAGGATCTCTATATATTAAATTCTGTCCATTAAGTGGCATATTACACAGTACTATGTTGTAGTAATTGTGGTGGCTGTTTATTGTGGAAAAGGAAAAGAACTGAGAGACAAGGATGATGCTTCAAAATCAAAGACACCTATATACTGTATGTCTAACTGATAGGAGGGGGTGGAGTTTATTTTTATGTAAACCATGAAAGACATTCATTGATCTTTAATTTATATCTGCATGTACATGCGAGAGAGAAAAGTAACATAATGTATTTCCAGAGTTTTCATTCAGAACAGATACTATAAATAGTTATATGCATATATGGAAGGTCAACACATGATCAACTTAAATAGGCATTTAAGCAGAGGCTGAACTGCATGGCAATGAGTTTGCATTTAAATGTTAAATAGTTGACAGTGACATTCATCTTCATATGTAAAATCAAAGGCAAGGTGTTGAGAGAGGGCAGTTGTGTCTTTTAGTTGCACTTTGGATTCTGGACATTAATTCAGAAAAAAAAAAAAAAAATTGTTTTAACTTTCACAGTCTGTCAGATGAAAAAGATGAAAAAAACATTTATGGAGTGTAGTGGACAACAAGTGTGTGGTGGTCATTGTGGCGGCTGCAGAGGGCAGCGTTTCTGGAGCTGCTGTGGATTTGAGGTTGTGCAGAGCTCAGAGAGGCTTGTCTATGAATGGGGAAGAAGCCTGAAAGCTGTGTCCTGGGTGTTCGGTGCACCTCTCTTTGAACAGACTGGGGTTCCCCGTTGCACTTAATCAAGGCCACAAAGCACCTATAAAACTGTGTAAAAGCACAAAATAGAGGATTCATCATTTCCAGTTAGCACTGATTTGGTGGTAAACTTCATGCATGTAACACCCGATTAAGTGGCGATTAAGAGACACTGAGAGTAAAATGACTGAGACTGAGCTTTCTCTCCACTTTACAATTAGACAGAGCAGAGCAGTCAGTCACATGTACTGCAACCAACAGATCTTACATAACATACTTCAGTCTAGTGACAAATGGAGTGAAGATGGGGATTCTGGGTCACCTTTAATAATAATAATAATAATAATAATACATTTTATTTGGCAGCACCTTTCACAGCACTCAAGGACACTTTACAGAAGATTAAAAACACAATAAAAATAATAAAAACAACAGACAGTTAAAAAGAAAACAATGAAATTAAAGCGAATATGCAGATTGAAACAGATGAGTTTTGAGTCTTGATTTGAACTGGGGTAAAGAAGCAATGTTACGGATGTCTGGTGGGAGAGAGTTCCAGAGTTGGGTGGTGCTGAGGCGGGCGGATGGCATAGAGAGGTGAACGGAGGAGGAAGACCAGAGGGAACGAGAGGGGGTGGTGATGCGGAGGAGATCAGCCAGATGGGGGGGGGGGGGGGGGTTGTGGATGGCTTTGAATGTAGTATAGAGAAATCACCACTCTGCCCAAGTTTCTCACCTGGTTGTTGAAGAACATGTAGATGACTGGGTTGATGACAGTGCTGAACTTGGCTAGGACTGAGGGCACCACACTAGCCATGGGAGTGACCAGTCCCAGCTTACCGAAGGTAGCTATCAGGGCCATGATGCCGTAGGGCATCCAGCACAGCATGTAGCAGGACACCATGGATAGCACCATCACCAGAATGTGCTGCTCTCTGCGCTGAGCTGCCATCAGATTGATTTTACCCACCTGGTGATGTAAAAAATGAGGAGAGGAAGGGGTACAGATGTTAAACCTGTCTTGACAATGATTTTACCAAGTACTGACTTAGATAATGTTTTCAATACCTCTCCCACATGCATTTCTGTGTGTTCTTTGTTTCTTTATTTACTTTATTTTGTTGCATTCATTATCTTAGTTTGTCATGGGATTGACTACATTAAATCCACACTATGTGTAGTATCTGAAAATGTCTTTCATTGGTGCCATCCAGTGGTACTATCAAAAAAAACCACTGTGACACAGCAGTGCATGCTGAAACTCTCCTCCCTCGATTCTCAAGGATCCCACCTGTGGACACTGAGATGAATGAAAGCAACACGTTGAGAGCAGCGACCTACACTAATATTGTTTAACTTTTCTATAAATAAAAACCCATCAGAACAATGTGAAAGAGGTTATAATCACAACTCTGGTCACTACTCACTTTCATACATAGCTCACCTCAGCAAGTTCCATTTTCTGATGAAGCCCGTGAGGTGTGAGGTGCTCTGAAAAGGCTAAGTGAACCTTGAGTTGAGATTTTTTTGTAATTCAAGATATAGTGGATTTAAAGAGGCATTTCAGCAATTTAGTCCTTCCTCAAAAGAGAGAGATTACATGCCTTGTTTGGGTCAAGCTCCAAAAACACTAGATCCAACACTTCCCATAATGCATTTCCCTTAATGCAACTCAGTAGCATCCTTCCCTGTCTGGTGTTATGTTTTAAAGATATGGGGCATCTTTCACCGAGGACTGCTTGTGACAAGTAAACTGAAATCATTTAATCATTCAGCTTTAACATCCATTTGGGCTTTGCATTCTTTTGTGTCGTGACAAGCCAAAAAAAAAAAACAGAGCTTTTTTTTCATTTTGTGCTATTTATCAATTGTCCCCCACTGTTTCATAGACAAAAGAATGACTGCTGGATCTAGTGGATCAAAGACCCAGTAATGGTCATGTCACAGTAACCATAGAAGCACTCATTAAAAAATACCACATGGTTAAAGTTTGGTGGCCATTGCACATGCTCTGGCGTGTTTCATTACATCTTTCCTGCTGGTTTCATCCTGATGTACTGTGGCTGTGGGCTAAAATTAGCTCAGGTATATCATAAGCCAAGTGGTTAAAGCGCTGCCTCATCTGCCGTGACTGTCACTTCCTCAGTATTGATTTCATACGCCTGTGGTCACTGCCTTGTGTAATTATCATTGTGATACTCATCTCGGTGCTTCAGAATGAGAATGTCTGCCTGGTGAACGCGGCCCTCCTTTCTGTCGGATTACTGCACATCTTTCATACACTCAATTAAACTTAATCTTGTATGGAATTAGGTCATAACCTTTGTTGCTTTGTGTCCTCCATCACCTGCCATGCAATAACTATTCTGACAACGTTCAATCAGCAGTGATTTCTGCATGGCTGATCTTTTGTTCTTGTTCTCACCGTTACCCACAGAGAAATTATGACAAGCATCTCAATTAAATCACCCCAGCAAATGACCTAATACACAATTCTGTCATATTTCAACAGAGACTAAAATATGATAAATAAACTCAAGAGTGCTACAGAATTCTGCTCCATGGAAATACATTTTTCCTTTTGTTTTGGAATAAAATGGTATATTTTGTGTTGAAATAGGTCCATTGTCAATTCATCAAGACACAATTATTACACAATTACACAATTATGTAAGAATAAATCTCAAAAATGTGAGTTTGTAGAAGAAGCTTTATAGATAGCATGGTGAATACAATCTAAATGCGATGCTGTCATGTGGAGAAAAAAAAATCCAAGCTCAATCCACACTGATGCTGTTGATATAAATGTCATCTCTCCATCTGACGTGTCTTTTTCAGTCACCTATGAGAAGCTGCCAGAAGGCGCTGCACACTGATTGCTCTTGTTTCTAAGAAAAGCCTAAGGCAGGGCTCTCAGTTGGAGGGCGACTAGTGCGTGGCTGAGCCCCCATTCAACAGCACAGTAATCAAATCAGCAAAGCCCTTATATGCTCTGACTCCCTCGGGTGCACAGAGCTTAAAAAAAAATGGAGGTGTTTATATAAAAGCAGGTATCCATTAGTAACGGGTTGCTTCCACAATCTAAAAATACCTTCTAGGTGATTCATTAATAGGAGTAGTAGCAGCAAAGTGCATTGAGGCGCCCAACACTAATTTGGAGCCCTTTATCATCACTTATTTGTGAGACTGGCAAGCTTATGTAAACCCCACCGAGGTGGGGATGAGTCACTGGAAACTGAGAGGGGGTCATTGCCCTCAAGAATGCTGCCAGGCTCTGAAACCCCACTTGCTCCTCTGAAGACGCTGCCCCTCATTCCTTCTCCTGCTGGATAAATTGATTGTAAAACTGTGAACACAGAGCTGTGGCCTCTAGGATTATCTGGCTTGATGCTCCTTGAAATTAGCTTTAAAAAAACAAAACAAAAAAGAAATCGTGACCAAGTGTTAGTGGGATTTTGACAGCCATCACTCAAATCTGAGCTGCGATCTTATGTCTCAAGAACACCTTGACAGCTCAAGAGTCACAGTGGAGCCCAATTTATCAGAGTTATTAAGGCTTATAGCTGAGCAGATCGTGAAAGGCAGCACTTTGAGCACATTATCCTGAAGAAAATTACAGCTCTTTACATGCAGTCTGTACCATATGTGTTTTATACTGAACCTTTGTAAACGTGTATATGGTTTTCTGTCAGGTAATGTAAGTGATTGTACAGTGTGTCCAGCCATAGCAAATGGAATAACAAAGGTACAGCCACACCTATTTCAGTGACATAATAAAGCTGCAAACAAAGAAGGAAATGTGAAACAACTGTGACAAAAAAGGGGGGAAATTGATTCGAATGGAAACACTTCAGGAAGGATTTTCAGTGGAAAAGTCGTCAATACACCACAGACAGCACATAGGTATCTAAATTTAGATCCAAGCCGCTTTAACTCTGAGCTTCCATCTATTTTCAGTGATTTTCTCATTTGTGCTATTTTATGGGAAGACGTTCCCATTCCCTCTTGCACATGAATGAGAAAGTATGTATACATACAATAATAAAAACACTGAAATCCAAAGAAAGCAATGGCCCTTGACCTAAACTTTATGTCATATGTGTTCTTTTTTGTTTTTGTGTCCCCTATAAAACACATTGCATAAAAAACAATCTATTAAACAAGCTTTATTAATAAATACATGTGTTTTGTATAATATCGGCAAAAGAGTTACTTGTACAACTCCTAAAATTTTTTTTTTTTTTTTTTTAAACATTGTCGATGAATCTGTGAATCAAAGCAGTTTTCAGTAGATGATAAGTTAATGATACTTTATATCTGGTTAGTTAGCTGTTAGTCCTATGTCAGGCACGTTAGACCGACTGATGGGTTGAACGTGGCAAGTCCTTTTTAAGAGTGTAACAGGTTAGTATGCACTCACCCTCCTGATTGCAATCAAGATTCGGCCATAAGAGTAGACCATGAGTAGAAGGGGCAGCAGCAGGCAGAAGATGAAGAGACACAACACATATGAGATGCTGGTGGGCGAGCGGAGGTGCCACTGGACAGAGCATGTGGTCCCGGGTCCCTCGGGCCCATAGCTGCTCCACCCCAGGAAGGGTGGCAATGTCCAGAGGAGAGAGTAGAGCCAGGAGCCTCCGACACAGAGCCAGGCCTTCCTGAAGTTTGAGATGTCAACCTGGGAGGAACGCAGCACAGTGGTGTAGCGCTCATAGGAGAGAACAGACAGGGACACCAGGGACACAATCCCTTATGAAGCAAAAGAGGAGAAAACACAGAATAAGTTAGATATAATAATCAGAAAGCAATTTTTAGTTAATCTTTGGAACAATGCTTCTCATTTTCCCACCAACAATTCTTAACTGGTTCGCTTGGTGGAGGGACAGTCCATGCCCAACCTGCCTTGCTGTTTCATGTAATTTCAATACATCTTAATGTAACCTAAGTGCTTTATATTATACATTTACAACAAGGCAAAACTTTCATCTGAAGCTGTATGCGACCATCACATGATATTATCGAAACATGTGCCCTCTCGCTGCTGTTGATCCTCACCGATCTTAGACAGTGAGGCACTAAATGTACTGTATAAATTAGTGGAGTAATTATAGTGTAGAAACGAGTGATTGATAGGACATCACTGAAGACCAGCTCTGTAAATGACTGAGGTGACTGTGGGTCACCTGAATGTGTGTGGAAAAGTGTTTCTTTCTCCTTTTATTGTGACAGAAAACCTTGAGACCAAAAGACCCTCAAAGAATAACCCACCCCTCACATGATGTTCAGCTGCTGTCATCACTGTGCCTTTTTGCTGCCTCTGTGGATGGCAACAAAGGTGTATCAGTTGGTCCACCACTTTGGTCCAGACTGAGGGATCTGAACAACCGTTTGATGGATTGCCAGAGATATTCATAGTTTATACACATTGAATCCTGATGACTTTGGTGATCACCAGCTGACTTTTCCTCTAGCACCACCACAAGATTTCATTCTGTGGTTTTTGTGAGAAATGTCTCAAAAACTACTGGATGGATTGCCATAAAATTTGGTACAGATATTCATGTACTTGAAATTCCATTTAGCGCTATGGTCCCGTTAATACATTTCCCAGAATGCCTTCAGACTGTATAAAGAAGGTACAATCTTGCTAGCCTCAACTCCTCACCTACATGAATGACTGTTGATAATCAAAAAAGTGAGCTTCACTGTCAAACCTTCTTGGTTAGGTTAGATTGTGGGTTGGATTAGTCCTTTAACAATGTTTGTGGATGTGTGTGTGAAAAAGAATGTTTATGTATGTGTTTGTTTGTTTCTGTTGTACTCTCCTTTAAATGCTTTTGTTTCTGTTTTATTGTCTTTTAAATGCAATTTTAATGTCTTCTTAATGTCTTACCTTTAACGTAGCAGGTCCCTCTCTAAAGCACTTTTAAATAGCCTTGTGTCTAAGTGGTGCTACATAGATGAAATTGCCTTGCCATATTGAAGGGCATGTAAATGTGCGTGTTAACTGTGACACATCAGTAGGATGATGAGGTAACACAAAGTTTTTCTTTTGTCCAACAAATACAAAGACAGGATGTGCATTTCTAACTCAGCTGCTAAAATCTTTGAACTGAAATATTTCATTATAGTTCTTACACGCCCCGTATAGGCCTACGGTATATGTTCCTGTATGCTGCCTATAGAGGGGGTGGTGCTCAGGATTCAACAGAATAAGAGGTCAAGGGAGCAAAACCAAATGAACTCCATAAAATGTCACATTGGACCTGAATCATCTGCACAGGATGAATAAACTGCAACAGTATACTGTCTCTTACTGTCACTGGCTTCCATGTGTAGCCTCATAATAGCCTAGTTATGTTTTGAATCTCAGTGTTGTCTTCGGTCTTAATTGGTTTTTAAAATAGCCAATCAACTGTATTGATGATACATATCAATTTAAAATGAATGGAGAAATCTTTCTTCTCTGATGCCCTTCTGTTTAACTCAAATCGGTGACACTTGAACTGCAGCATGGTTGTTTTTGCTTTATTTAGCAAGTGGTGGAAATTAGTTCTGTAATTTTGAGATAATAGTATTTTCAGATTATGCTATGTTTATGATTTTACACCACTACATTTCAGAGAGAGGTATTGTATACTAACTGTACACTAACTAACTGTATACTTCTAACTATATGCTACTTGCACATTAAGATTTTACATATAAATTGCCAGATTTAAAGTATGCTATATTATTACAGCAGCTTACATGGACTACATCAATAATGATCCAATAATAATAATACTCTAAAAGGTTCTATGTACTTTTACTTTTTGATATCTAATATTTGGCTGATAATAGTTTTGCACTTTTACTTTACAATTTTGAATGCAGGACTTTTACTTGTAAATTTGTATTTCTACACCCAAGTGTTGCTACACTATTATCAAAGGATCTAAATACTTCTTCCACCACTGCCTTTAACAAAGTCAGTAACCCCAACTTGTTGAATTCATCATAAAAGTTCCTACTTTCAACACAAGTTGGTGGAAAGCGGGAGTAAACAGATATATTTAGAGTCTATATTTGCAGGTGTCACTTACCGAAGAGGGAGTTGGCGAACCCGTACCACTTGCAGCCGTACTCTCCAATGAGCCACCTCCCGTGCAGACTCGCAGCAAAACTGAAGGGTGTCCCGAAAACGCAAACGAGGATGTCGCTCAGGCTGATGTTCAACAGGATGAGATTGATGGGCGTCCAGAGAGAGCGAAACTTTGCGAACACGAGCAGAGTGAGGAAGTTGTTGAGGATTCCCGCGACTAAAATGAAGCCGAGGCATACTGCCACCACTGTGTGGCCAGTCCGGCTCAGCCCGCCGGGGCTGTGGGACGCCGGGGTGTCCCGCAGGGTGGCGTCGGTGCTGAGGCTGGAGCTGGAGAGGGAACTGTCTGTGGTGCTGAAATTGCAACCGCGCATGTGGACGACCATAGCAATGGGAGGAGAGCAGAGGGCTGGAGCTGGACACACACAGCGAGAAGCTCAAAGTCCCTCACAGACCCGCTACAGCGCTGCGAGGGCCGTTATTACACAGTTATTAGAAGTCGAGAGAGTTGAGTGTGCCCTGTGCTCTTCTTTATACCTGCACCCTTACAATAAATGCAAATACCCCCACCCCTTCTCTCTGCCTCGCGCAAACACATACTTCTTCCTTTCTTAGAATCTCTCCAGTTATTATAGTCAGTCCTCTTGATCACAATGCCCTGTGTAAATAGAATAAATCCACCAATTAATTGCTTTCCAGCTGCAAATTCAATGCCTTTCAAGGCACTGTGCTGAGCTTATTTTAAGACGTGAAATAAATTCGCATAGTTCCACCGACTTCACTGGGTTTTCGAATTTTTCACGGCAGATATAGACCAGATCAAATGATTGTCCAAATAGAAGTTGTGATTTTTTACAGTCACACTGGAGAGAATTACTCCCAGCGTTCCCCTTCGGGAATACGAACTTTGGTTGCATGACTTTGCTAAGCTCTGCATTTCATATACATTGCTGCTTTCTGTGCCAGACTGTTTCTGTGTGCAGCTGCATACAGCTGCTTCAATTGAGCACAAAGTAAGTCACCGACAAAGGAAGTTTCGCACCTGCTCAGCATTCTTTCTGCACAGCATCCAATACAATAAACCACCCACTGTTTATGTGTGTTTGATTCTATCTAAATTACAGTAACCATTTTCCAAGTTGTCCTTACAGTCAGCATTGTGCAAACTTACAGAGACTTGAAACCCATTTAAGACGATCCGTGTAGAAAATCTAAGTTGGCGGAGTTCCGTCATTGTTGCATGCAGTGGAGACAGCTGCATTGACATAAAATGATAATATTGATCTGACAACAGCAAAAGCAGAAGTGATGTTCACAGCAATTGGCTATTTCATTACTTCATTCAAGAATGTGTGAACTAATGGAAACCAAAGGATGCTAGTACAGAAATAAACATTCTGAACAATATGACACAATATGCCATGCCTTATGTACTATTATAGTAGCCTAAATTGTAGAAAATGTAATCTGCTATGATTAATATTTTCTTTTACATGGTTTTCACTCATAAAAAGATTTTTCATTTTTAAATCTGAAAAGGGGCTGGAAGCAGGGGTGTTGCTAGCTTTCAAGACACTGGGGGCTTAGCCCAGACTTTTGCAGGGGGGTCCAGGATCTGCATCACTGTTATTGACAATATTGATTGAACAGACTGGTTTAACATATGCTGTATAGACTTATTTATTTAATCTGAGAAGATTGAATTGTTTTGTTTATCTTTTATTGCTTGATTAGTAACCCTGACATATTCCCGCGGCTTCTGCATCAGTTTGAGTGACTTAGTGCACTGACCAATGAACACCAAGCTCTACCTACATGAATGACACTTCATTAGTTCCTACACCAACAGTCACCCCACCCTCTGTCTCTCTAAACACTGGTCAAACACAAATACACACAGAGTTTCTATGGCTCGACAGCAGGGTGATATCAAGCCCTGGCAAACTTTTTTTGCCCCTCAAATTACATTCAGGGCAAGGCTCTGAATGACCCTAATGATGCCACTGGCTGGAAGCATATATACACTTACTTCCTTATCGAGAAATTCTGTATCAGGCCTCGTGCCCCGACCACCACCGTTGCTAGATCTAGGTTGACCAGAGAAGAGCAGAGCATATGGAGATGGTTAGTTAAAGAAACATCAGAGGGATTTAGCTTTACATGTCTGAGCTAAGTCAAACCCAGACTCAGACCCCGATGAGAAGTTTGTTGGCACCAAAACTGGCAACTAGCAGATGTATCAGAATAATAGGTGAAGTTAGCATCTTGTTTACGTTAATGTTGTTTGTTAGCTTGTAAATGACAGTGGCTGACACAGAGTTTTATATTCACAGAGATTTATGCTAATGCAAACCATTGCTCTCTGTACTGAGAAGGTTACAGTTTATTTTGACGGGATTGGTTCCTTAGGATTGTGACGTATGAAACCCTGGCTGTCTGGAAATACTCAGCCATGGCATTGTTTAATTATTTCGCTCATGATATGTTTTGTATTATATAAAAAACACTATATGCACATGTTAAGAAGGTTAAACACTTGATTTTTATTGGAGGGGGTTTTAAATTTGCAAAAACAACAGTATTGCCCTTTAATAACAGAGCAAAATGTCATACTATTGTTTTTCATTAGATCCAGATAAAAGGACTCAAACACTGGATAAAATTGTTCATCTGACACACCAAACACCCCCCTTCTTCTTCAGCCACAGATCAGCCTGATTATGCCTGACACAAGGGAGGAAGAGGGATTATGGATTCAAGCATGAGTGGCTGCTGAATCCATGCCTGCCTCCTGGAGAAATGCAGATTGTCTGCTGTTCCTCCTCCACACCTTCTGTCAATCTTCTTTCTATATACAGTATCTCAAAAAATATACCGGAAAGATTTGTCAATTGTTAATAAGAAGTCCCTCCAATCCATACCTGCTACGTCTTCTTTCCTGATTCTGGCTTTGTTACACCACTGACTCAATGTGAGCCCTCTGAGCTCTGTAAGGCAAAGAGGAATAAAGTGTTCTCCTAATAGGCACCTGCCTTTATTCTGATCTTGAGTTGGAAGACAGCAGGGTTTTGTTTCAGATATACTCTGGACTGTATTCTTACTCCTTTTTATCCATTTTTTTTGTATGTGCACCAACATACATAACAAACTCAAACCTCTAGCAGCTAGAGTGAAGTATGATACTTACAGAGGTGATGTGGCCCCTTGAGGTGGGTCAAGCATGACACGATGGTTCCCTGGTTCCCACAGTGTCATAATTGTTTTGTTTGGAATGCATTATCTCTATGATGCTGTCTGAAGTGAAGCTGAAAGAGCTGCATTTTCCAAGTGAAAGTCATATGAGGATCACGGAGACTGTCCGTTTGACAAAGAGAAACTCTGATACGTGGAGAAGACAGCCAGGGACACAATGAACAAGACCTCTTTTAGAAGCCTCTCTCTTAACACTAAAGAAAAGTCTCATCTTACAGATTCCTTCAAAAGTTTTAACTAACCAGATTTGTATAAATGTAAAATGATTTAGCTGAAAGCAGTTGAAGCTGCTTATTAAATCAGAATCACTTTACTTTTCTTCTCCTGTTTAGTTGTTCTGTTACTTTTTTCGGCAGTTTTAATCCTTTTTTTTATTTCAAGGACGCATGTTTCAATAATACATGTGCTGTGGCTTTGAAATGACGAAACAAAAACCTTACTAATCAAAAAGACTAGTTTCTATACAGCTGATGTAACTCTGATTTAATCTGTTTGCAAGAAACCTGAGAATCATACATCCACTTTGGAGGAAGCAATGAGGAATGTAGTTCACGTAAACTGTAGCATGAACCATGCAGTTTACCCTTTTTTTTTATAGATTTAAACATTACCATTTAGAGATTAAAGATTAAATGTGCATTCAATAAGAGTTCTTTAAATGCAAGATCAGTCCTTACCATAACGTAAAGAACATAAGCGATCTAGAAGGAGAGAAATTTGAAAGGGATTTAGCTGTATCCCCTCTGAAGACAAAGTTCAACTGAGGGATTTTCCTCCACATTTGCAACAGAACAAATTCAATCTGAATACATATTAGTTTAAAAAGAGGATCCAGTTGTTTTGAAAAAGGGAGAAAAGGAGACAAAAATCTAACAACAAAGACCAATACTAATTTTTGATATTATACTAATTGTCAAGTTTCTAACCTTTTAAAGATTTAAATAATTCAACAATTCACTAAGAATATCTATCTGCAACACTGGTAGAAATACCAAAAACAACTCACCGTGATTTTTTTCCCTAGCTCTTAAGCTGTTTTTGTGCAAAGATCATATGAAATATCATCAAAGACATCCTGAGAAAATCAACAGAAAGATATTGACTATACTGAAGGAAAGGTTAGAGAGTGGGAAGATCAATTAAAGAACTCTGAGAATTGAATAATCTCAGAATACCTAAAAAGACACAGCTAAGGTTCAGCTACTGACTGATTATATCACTGGATTGTTTTGTCAAGCTCATATTGTCTGAGTTGGGTCTTTATGACGCTGGTGTAATTGGATTGAGCAGGAAAACAAGTCCTGTTTTGTGTTAATTATGCCAGTTAATGGTGGTGTCTTGAAGACCACTGTATGTTAAATACCATCTTCAGTAAGTTTTCAGTGGTGAAATGACAAATTACCATATGAATAGTGACAATACTGAAACTCTGGGGAAGTTTGTACTATCATACATATTCATATTCATATTAGACAGTTTCTGAATAACAGAGGCATTTAAGGACAATGAAACATTATGTGCATAATTTTATATTTGCAAGCAATGTAACCTAACTCCTATTTTTTTTTTCAAGTTACTGAAATTAACATCGTGCAATGCTTTCACAAGATAAAACCGAATGGAAGCCCTTATCTCATAATTATGACTTAGTATCTCATGATTACAAGAAAAGATCTCATAATTATTAGAAAAGGTTAATTTGGTTATCAGTCTTTGCTATTTGAGAAGACAGAGGAATTATGGAGCTACTTGATTTAATCTGCTTCTCTTTCCCTCTCGGTTTAAGATGGTGGGAAGTATTAATGTCACTGAGGATGGTATTAGTATTATTTGGCAAGTTGTTTCTTTTTATATGGAAACACATTGCATTCACAGAAGAAAAATCTTGTAATTACTATCTTATAATTGCATGAAAAGATTTCACAAATACAAGATCCTTAATCCTAATGATCCTAATTATGAGAAAACTATCTCATAATTGTGAGATAATGTAGAATTAAGGTTACAGAAATTGGAACACTTCAGATCTCTACAGTATTGCTGTCAGTACATCCAATGGTACATAATAAAAAGTAAATGTTAATAGCTCATTTGGCTCAATTAATTTTCCAAAATGTAAACAAATATAGGCAAA